ACAGTTGATTTATCGACACTCACGAGTTTGACTTGTTAGGTTAGGTTAGATTAGGTTACAGGGTGATCTCAAGCATCTCACACAACAGTAATAATTTGAGAAAAAATGTATTGAAGAAAATCATTACATTTTTCATTCCATGACAAACTGCGGAAATAATACTTGCTACTTCCAGGATAGTGATGAATTTTCATCAATATCTAGAAAAAGTTCATTTAGTGAAAAAAAATTGTCATTCCATTTAATAAATGAATAATATAATTAGTTATGGGTACTAGAACAGGGTACTTGAACTTTGTGAAACGTTTTTTTTTAAATATGGAAGATTTATAATCGTCTTACCAAAGCGTGTGCAATGAAAAAGATTAATTATTTCTCTTATTGACTCTCGAAAATGATTCCGATATTAAGAAACAGAGTTAACGATTCTTAAAGAGGCAAAAAAATAAAATAACAAAGTATATATTTATTATACAAGGGAAGGAAGTGGTAGATTTTAGCTCGAGGTTGTGAGCTAAAATCTAATATTTTTCCCGTGCATATTTTTCTGTGACAGAAAAAAGGACGAATCAATATTGAGAAGATAAAACATTTTATTGAAAATCAGAAAATTATCGGCTTGAAATTTGAGGTTTTTAACAGAAATTACATCTGCGTTGCAGGCATCTTTATCATTCTTTTAAAGTAATGAAAAATCTGTCAGTCTTATTCTGTGATTTGGTTTTAAACAATTTCGAACTTTGAGTAACCGCGAAGTAGAATGAAAGATGAATGGACTTGCCTTGCTTTCTCTGTTATGCGAGGTGTTACTTATTTTTCAGAACTAGCACAATACAATCCATCCACAGTGTATATATGTATCCGGGAAAAAAGTACTCACTTTTTTCCTACAAGAATTTTCGGATAAGTGTCATTTTTAGAACTCGTCGAAATACGTCGGATATGCGGCTCAGACGAAACTGCCTGTGCAATATTTTTATTTAATGCTCATTTTCAACTACTTCCAAAAATATATATTTGAAAAAAAATCCCTGGTCATGTCTCATTTAGTGAATAGAGCGATAAAACTGTCGAGAGGTATCTCAGTTTCAGGCACTTGAATATATATGAATATTAGTATTCACAAAAAGGATCCAGGAATTTATCAAAATTGATTATAAAAATTATATCATATAGAGGCAGTAGCTGCTCAAAACTTCAAGGTCTTTTGAAAATCCTCTAGAAAAAGTGAGGAACCAAATTGACTAGAGATTGAGTGAGTGAGAATAGAAAAATATTGAAACGTATCATAATTCGATACTTATAAGCAGTGACTTCCTAATTTTTCTGTGGCCCCTCTCTCGAAAATCGCCCGGATCCGTCCCTGGATCCATACCTACGATTCGTACTGGATTCTGGTGAACTCGGCCAAGAAACAAAATTTCCCTGACTTGATACATGAATTACTTTTCACTGGTGAAATTAATGAATTAGATTGAAACATTATGGAAAATAATTTACTGATATTTTCGCTAAGTAACACCTTTTATATTGTAGGGATAGTCGACCGAATTAATTGAAAAATTATTTGTCATCTATTTCTTTCCCAACTGCAACTCTTTTCGGTTATAATTGCACAAAAATTGCCGATAGTTTTGCAAGAAAGCGTGATATCTAAATATTGCAAAAGTTTATTTTCATATTTTGGCGAAAGAGCCAGAGTCCGAAAGAGGATGGCTCTTTTACAAAATATGAAAATAACCGGATGCAATTTGTATAACTCGCTTGAATGCAAAACTAGTCATTTTTATGCACGAATTGGGAATGTAATTCATTAGAATATTTCACGAATAAAGAAATTCTCGAAGAAATGTTGTTTTTTTTTTGTATGGAGCACTCACCAAAACGCATTATTTTTTTAGTTTTTGAAGTATCTGATATTTATTTGTATTGTTTATTAGCGTCTAGCAACACGGTTTCGAATGTGTTGTTATGGCGACGGGGTGTTTTCGCAGTGCAATTACCACTTTAATTTTTCGATAACTGCATTGCTCTTATGAGGCATTTTATAAAAGAGGGGCATTTTCTTTCCCTCCTTATTTCCAGATTTCCTTTTTTTTTCAAACCTTGAATTTTACGATATGCTTCGGTGGGAATTTTCTTCTATTTTTTGGCAGGCTCCACTCACAGCGACAAAAAATTGTACTTGAACACGCCCTTAAATTATTTGCAGATGACACGACATTGATTTATTTCTCTAAAGATTCAAATAATATTATCATGGACATGAAAAGTGATTTAGAGAAAATATCCTCTTGGTTACAAGTTCATAAACTATCTCTCAATTATAACAAATCCTCATATATGTACATAGCAAAAAGAACATTGAACATTTCAAATAGAACACTATCCTTCAACAATAAACTCATCAAATATACAGATGTTACAAAATTTTTAGGTCTTTATATTGATGAAAGACTATTGTGGAATAAACATATAGATCATTTGAGGAACAAACTTAATCCTATTACAGGCATTTTATTCAAAATACTAAATTTCATTTCTACCAGATACTTGAAGAGTATTTATTTCTCTCTTATTTACTCAAAATTTCAATACCTAATATCTATATGGGGAAGTACCAATATTTCACGTTTGAGTCCACTAATGAAATTACAAAATAAAACATTGAAGTGTATTTTCAATTCAAATTTTCTCGAACCAACCATGAATTTATACAAACCTAGAGATTTATTAGATCTGACATCGCTATATAAACTTAAAATTTGTTGTTTTATTCAATTTGTCCTATATAAATGAAAATTTCGAATTTAAATTTCAATGAAATCAGTTCATTACATAATCATGGAACAAGACAATCAAATTTACTAATAGCAAATACGTTCAAGTCAAATATCGGCAAACAATCAATTTTTCACACAGGAATCGTTCTATACAACTCATTACCAAGTCATTTGAGGAATATACAGGAAGCAACTAGATTCAAAATTAACTTGAAAAAATATCTGCTCCAGAGACTTTGATAATTCCATTTTTCTGCAACCGACACAAAAATCGTCCATTTTGATACCAAAATTAGCTCTTAAATTGACGTTTCTATTACTGACACAAAAGTAGGTATGTTGCTAGGCAACATATTTAGTTCCTAGGAGCTAAAGTGGAACTTTAGGTCCTAGGAGCTAAAGTTGACCTTTAGCTCCTAGGAACTAAAAAGGATGTACTGGACGTCATCAAGAATGAACGACATTGTTACGGTTGGTTATTTGGGTTGAGATGCATACCTGATTTGTTTCCGATTTCGGCATATTTGGCATTTCATGCCGATGCTGGAGATATTAATACACCTTATTATAGTTAAGTATTGCCAGTATTGGAATTATAAACATCTCAGTTGAGTGTTTTTGTTTTGATCAGAGAAGCCTTCAAGATTCAATCACTTGCTTGATCTGTATTTCATTCGTTATTCTCGGGATGGATAACTTGTTTTTGAATAATCACGGCAAGGCAAGCAATTGTTTTTTTGTCTCAAACAACGATATTGTTTACCTTCATTTGATTATCAAGTCAAACACAGTGTAGTATGGAGAGGAATAAATAATCACACTATTATCATTGTTGATATGCTCACTAACCTAACATTTTCCACGTCTTGTTCCTATAGCTGGCACTGGCGCGGTATTTGCCATTAGAGCACCTGGTCCATACACAAATATGTCACTCTGTGGTTGTATTTATATCGAAACTACAATTCGAACATCCTAGAAAACCTAACCTGCTGTTAATGCAGGTAGAATATTCTCACCACATGGATTATTTGTCAATATTTGTTGCATTGCATACATATGGCACGGCATTGGTGGTTACTTCACATGTTTATTTGAGTTAATTGTTTCGGTTGCAGAAAAAATAGCATGTTTCATTCGGATCAAAAGTGACTTTGTTCGACTCGCAAATTTTGCTTTCGCTCGGCTTCGCTAAACGCTCCGCCTCGCAAATGCAAAATTCGCTTGTCAAACAAAGTGTCACTTTTGATCCTAATAAAACAATCTACTATTCTTATTTGAATACCTACTTATAAAAGACTAGGTTGATATTGCATGATTATTTGCATTTTTTTTTTAACTTGTTATATCTTATTATAATTTCATAATTGTATGTATAACATTATGTATATTGTTTATGTATCCCTATTATAAACAACTATGTTTCTTGGGGTAATAAAGACAATCAATCAATCAATCAATTTCCTTCTCTTCTATTCAAACCTCAAACTTGATATGCTCGGCGAGAATTACAAATAATGACTTAAGGGGATCGACAACGAACTTAAGGGAATCCTCAATGAACTTAAGGGGATACCAATTCAAAATCCTACAATATCGGCTCTGTTAGTGAAGTAACTTTTTGCCTTTGCTGTTGAACTTGTACAGAAAGAACCTTCCGAAGTGCCCACCATAATTTTCTTCTATTTCTTTGCAGGCTCCTCTCACAGCGACAAAAAAGTGATCCCGAACACGCACTTATTTCCTGATTTCCGTCCAAACCTTAAGTTTGACAATATATGCTCGGCGGGAATTTCAAATAACGACTTAAGGGGATCGATAATGAACTTGAGGGGATACCATCTTTAAATCCTACAATATTGGCTCTGTTAGTGAAGTAACTTTTTGCTTTTGCTATTGAACTTGGACAGAAAAAACCTTCCGACGTGTCCGCCATGAGTTTCTCCTATTTCTTTGCAGCCTCCTCTCACAGCCACAAAAAAGTGGACTCGAACACGCCCATATTTCGTGATTTACTTCTAAACCTCAAGCTTGATATGCTCGGCGGGAATTTCAAATAACGACTTAAGGGGATCGACTATAAACTTAAGGGGATTCCAATTCAAAATCATACAATATCGGCTCTGTTAGTGAAGTAACTTTTTGCTTTTGCTGTTGAACTTGGACAGAAAGAACCTTACGAAGTGCCCGACATAATGTTCTTCTATTTCCTTGCAGGCTCCTCTCACAGCGACAAAGAAGTGGACCCGAACACGCCCGAGAAGCTGCCGAGGACGCCGAGCGAGCGCAAACGGAAACGGAAAGCGGAGGACAGCGGCGGCGGGCCCCCCGCTCTGGTCAAGGGGGCGGCGGTGACGGCAGGAGGGGGCGCGACAGTGGGAGCGGTGGGGACGGCGACCGTGCGGTATCCCACCGCCGACAAGAAGATCAACGACTACTTCAACAAGCACTCGGGCAACAGTCACAGCCCCATTCGGCTCGGCGGGGCGAAGAGTCCGTCGCCGCAGCAGCCCTATCCGATGGTAAGTTGAGGTCACGGATGGTTCGTGAGTTTCGATTCACCCACATTTCGCTGCTCCTTGGAAGAGAGAGGACATATAACTATCTCCTTCAATATAGTTCAGATACTTTGGATAATTAGTCCAGTCATTATACCGAAACCAAAAACCGGTTTTTCTTGAATAACTCGGCCATTTTTGATTCTACAGAAAAAGTTTGGGGACAAAAAATGTAGTAAATTTGGTTCTCTACAAGTTTGGTCCTTACAATTTTTCTGATAGGATCGATATTTTGTAAATTAAACCTGAAAAAAGCGACAAATTCGAAATATTTTCATTATCTCGTTTATTTTCAACTTTACGGCATAAATGAACAAAAACAAACTTGTAGAGAATCGAATTTTGGACCACCTGTTTTTCCGAAAATCGATATTTTCGGAATTAAACCTAAAAAAAAAAAGAATCATTCGAAATATCATCATTATCTCGTTTATTCTCAACTTTACACCATAAATGAGAAGAAACAAACTTGTAGAGAATCAAATTTTGGACAAATTTGGTCTTTACCTGTTTTTCCGAAAATCGATATTTTCGGAATTTAATGCACGAAAAATTGCGGAGGAATGTGTGGGTGTCGTAAGGCAGGACTGAAATGTTCTGTCTTATGCCACAACTGCGCTGGGCAGACTTGCGATAACGTCACACAATTGCGAGCCGTCGATGACAAAGACAGTGATGATGACAACGACATCGACGATCCCGCACCATTAACACTGAACCTTAACGAACGTGAAACTGGACATTACCAATTGACCGAAGAAGAAAGAGAGGATATGGATTTGGCAGGACCATCAGCTAAGAAACCCAAAAAAAAATAGTTCCGGAACCATATTTTCACACCGACATGACAGACAAGCTACCTGCGCGGAATAACCTCTTCATTTATGCCGTAAAATGCGAAGCATTGGAGATAATGATAATCTTTTGAATTTGTCGCTTTTTTCAGGTTTAATTCCCAAAATATCGATTTTTGGAACAAAAACGTGATAACCAAAATTGTTTAGAATTTGATTCTCCACAAGTTTAGTCCTCTTCATTTATGCCGTAAAGTTGAAAATAAACGAGATAATGAAAATATTTCGAATTTGTCGCCTTTTTCAGGTTTAATTTACAAAATATCGATCCTATCAGAAAAATTGTGAGGACCAAACTTGTAGAGAACCAAATTTACTACAATTTTTGTCCCTAAACTTTTTCTGTAGAATCAAAAATGGCCGAGTTATTCCAGAAAAACCGTTTTTTAACAAAAAAAACAGTTTTCGAACATACGCAAAAGCTTGATTTGGTCGCCATTTTGAATTTACACTCCCAGTGACCCCCCAGAGACACCTATGAAAAAAAACCACTGAAAAATTATTCACGGGTCAAAGTCTATAATGACTGGACTAAATCCTTTGCTTCCATTTTTGCCTCAATATATTTATCTTCACATTCTTTTCAAGTTCTTGCATACACTATAGCTCTGAATTTTTGAAAAAATATAGACTGCTTAGACTGAGGTACTTCGTTTTTAGATTTCATCAACCATCTACATATTGACTGCAGAACATGAAAGCTGCATAAAAGGCACTTCATCTGTCATGAAAACTTTTGGCCCATCAACATTTCCTCCAAAAATTTTGCTTCCAACCATACTTTTAAAGAGTTCAAAATCCAAAGTTGAAATATGTTGACTCTCTGAGGATGTTATAATGATACCTAGTGGTAGTCCACCACATTCAGTGTGTGTTTCCATTACGAATATTCTGCTACCATCATGTAGAATCTATGAAAGCTATTTCACTAGCTGCAGTAATTCGTTCATGCACTCTTCTAAATAATGGTAGGCAAATACTGAAATATCATGGAATTTAGTATAATCATAACAAAATATACAATTACCTACTTACCAAATAATAAAGTCTCAGACTCATGAAATATGATTCATTATTATTGCCCGTTGATTTATCGAAGTCTGTTAGAGCCTCTGTAAAAATTGTTTACCAACTGTGTCAAATTCCATTGGACCATATCTCTTCTGGAACTCCTTTTAATAAATCTCAAAAAATTGGAACATTCATTGACTCCCAAATATTGCTATAACGTTTGAATATGCTAAACAACTCTCGGTATTCGCTATGGCCTTTCAAATGATTTAATAATGATCCAATGATTTCACTCCAAACTTTCAATATATTGGGACTTCCGATGACTCCCAAATACTTCATAAAGTAACTCGCTCACCAATCCAAAAAGACTTTCAGCGATTTCACACCAGACTACCAATAGATTAAGACTTCAGATGACTCAAAGACTTCATGAAGAAACTCCAGAAGACTTTTAGTGGGCTTGCAATGGGGAAATACTTCATTAGAATTTCAGTTACCTCTATCTATAGCCTTCAATAACTGATATCCAGTGTTTCAACTGCAGATTTCTGATAGATTGAGACTTTCATTGATTCTTAACACTTTCAGTAAACATACCTTTCCCGAGACTTTCGAAGTTATTCACTTTCATTAACTCTCAGTGGCTTCCCATTGATTACGATTAGGAGTCTTCAGTAGCCTCTCAGTCACTGCGTCCTGAGAAATACCCTGTATAAAATCCTAACCTATCGGTTTGTCTGATTGTTGTTGTTTCCACTGGTACAATTGATAAGTTTTTTTGTGATTTGTAACTTGTTGCCTTGAAACTCTGTTTTTCTATTAGGTGGCTAATATTCAATAATAAGTAGAAATGAACACTTTGTAAATTATTTATCAGGGTTTTACGAATTGAGTGTCCACCATTAGTAATTTGGTTATCAAAAAAGATAGATAAAAAACATGTAAATCCGATTAACAAACAGGAGATTTTAGACCTTCTGTGGATATGTCTCAAACAAAATTACTTTGAATTTGACAACATAAGGTTTGTTCGCGTTCGAAAAATAAACAGTCTGAAACCATCAGAAGCATGCGCAGTTCCACGGAACTTGTAAAATTCGTACTGTTCTGTGAAATTGCGCATGCTTCTGATGGTTTCGGACTGTTTATCTTATGAACGCGAACAAGCCTATAATATATTCTGCGTCAAAAGTGTTGATTATCGGATATCCACTGAGCCCTTTACTTGCTGAAATTTTCATGGAGAACTTGGTGCAGTTTTTGTATCGGTATAGATACGTTGATGACGTTATAGTATGCTTTAGAGGAACCATTAGACACTTTTCACCAATATATTAATACTATTCATCCAAACACACTGATATCACTATTCATAATTCAACACACCCTCATCAACATAAAATTGCAGCATATATAATAGTATGATACATAGGCTAGTGAATGTCCCTCTTTCAGAAGTAAATTTCAATAAAGAACTCAAAATCATAAAACAGATTGCAGTCAACAACGGATACAACGTTAATATTTCGGATCATCACTGAAAAATTACCTTCATTTCTACATAATCAGGACTTGAAAGTAGCATATAGAACAAATAACACGTTGGGAAGGTTTATCAAAAATAATTAAGACAAAACTTCTAAATTCGAAAAATCAGGCGTATACACGGTCAACTGTGGATCTTGTCCTAAGGTATATATCGGTCAGACAGGTCGTACGTTTAATCAGCGCATTCATGAACATAAGTTGAATTTTTTTTAAAAGAAAACAAATTCAACATACGCCAACCATCTTATATTAGAAGAAAACCATAGTTTTGATGATAATCTCGAATTTCTACACGTAGAAATAAAACCCAATCATTTGAAATCATTAGAAATCAACAAACTCAAAAATTCTGACATTTTACTTAACGATCAACTAGACCTCAATAGTTCACCACTGTTAAATTGGTTTTCTTAGTAGGTAATAATATCTATATCAACCCTTTCAATTTAATCACGAAGGTTTATTGAACCTTTTCACAGGTAATTCTAATCCTTCAGGTTGGGAAAGTACGATATATAAAAGTTAGGCAAGCCAAGGTTAGTTTAGTTCATTGTACCAGTATTTCACGTCACATGTCCTCTTATTAAGAATTTTATGGAAATCTTATTGTTTGTGAAGTTTTTACATTTGCCTTGGATTTCCATCAAGTAGCGGCCGAGTCAATTCTAAAAAATATATACAACATTGTTTGAATTATCAAATAACTTTTTAGTTTAGCATGCAAAAACCTCATAAAAAATGGTGTACATTCATTTTGGATAACCCTGTTTAGCAATGATAATTAGAATTCATGTTTTAATTGACTATTGATAAAATTTGATAATTGATCTCAGCTATCTACATTTCAGTTACCTCCATCACCACAACAAGTGGGGATGTCGTCCCCACAAGTGTGTAATTCTGTTCCTTTCGACTTTATTAACAAGGCGCCACTGAGGGTTACGCCACCGGCGACAGTTCACAAATTAATACAGGTTAGTTTCGAAAAAAAAAAAAAACAATAACCTCCGTTTCACTCGAAATGGTCATAAGGATGGTGCGTGAATTCAACAATTTTCTTGTATCAAAAATCATCTTGATCTTGCCTATGTTTTTTATGTCTTCAGTGAAATGTCCAATCACCTTGTTGTCTACTTGGGCAAGTTTTTAAACTCAACTAGAAATAAATCGGTTTATTTAATCGATGTTGTCATGTGACGTCACAGATGTCTCCGCTGGATGCGAATATGAAACAAATTTAAGAACTCTTTGATGTGTGCTCTTTTGACAATCTAACCTGAAATTTCCGTTCGTACACTGAGCTGCACCGGCACCATTTCCACAATCCTAAAAAATGGACCAAGAAATGAGAGTGATAACCCTTGTTCATGAAGACACTTGCTTCGAATTGACGTATATTACTCATAAGGTTCTGCAATCAAAATTAGCTCAAGTATGGTACCTATACCTACTTTATACATTCGAATTTATAAATAGGTAATACTTACTTGTATAGCGCTTTTACTAAGTCTGAAATGTGATTTGAAGTCACTATCTGAGTATAAATGAACAATTTTTGCTATATAATTCTTGTTTTTTATATGTTTCTCCCTGCGTTTCCTCATATTATGGATAAAAAATAATATTTCTTCACTGTCTGTGTCTTCAGATGATGAACTATCGCTAACTATCATCTTCTGGGCTAGTAAATACTCCATCCTAACCAGAGTACCAGAGATAAGCTAACATCCAATATCGTTTATTGAATTTTGAGATAAATAGATGAATTATTCAAAGATAAATAGTTAGTTGACACCTGGTTGACACTATTTATTAGTCAACTTTCTTAACCTCACAAAATTGTATAGACAATTCAGCGAATTCATCAGTTCATAAAATCGATGGATCTGATGAAGATAGATTGTTTCCAGCGCTAAAAAAAAACTATGAAGTGGATTCTATCAGAATATACTGGTGACTTTGAAAACGGTTTGCTAAAAGAGTGCTTAATGCGCATTGACGATTGATGAATTTAAAAACTTGCCCCTTGTGTGATGATAATTGGCGCTCACACTGTCAAAGGAATAGATCTCTATATTGATAGAACAACATAAAGAACTCTCCTCCATTTCTTGGGATAATAATTGGATGAATTGTTCAGATAATATGCGAAATAATGTATGTCAGCTATTGCTACCGCTAGGCGGCGCTAGTGTGGTTTCGTTGGTTGCTGTCATCTGCATAACATGATGACTAAATAAATCTGAAGGTTAGGAGGCACCTGTATTCTGTGTTTAGTCCAGGAGCACAGTGCACAGTACAGCATTGAAAGAATATAATAATCTTTTTTGAAAAAAAAATCGTCACTGCATAGAAATAAACAAAGATTGATAGCTGGTTACGGTGATGTCACCATCCTTATAACCATCTCAGTCTTAATGATGCTAGCCTGAAGTTTTTTGCTAATATATCGACTCTGAAATCTGGCGAAATGAAGATGCTCTATTGGATCGAATCACAGCTATTACTCTTCGTGTAGAACTTATCTTTTGATCTGCTAGATGACCTTCTTCAAGAGATAATTGTTGACAATATTCCATAGTTTTGGTAAAGAAGAAATGATAATCGGGTGGTTGTCTGTGATATGTGATAAGAAAGGTTTGCTGCTATATTCGAGTAAATATGAACGGGAAATTATATTTGTGAGTCACATGGCATTCACAACGGAATATTCAACTGACAAATTATTGACAGTCACAAAATAACTTTGATTATAGTTCCAATTGCAATATTGCAGTAATCATCTCGGTAATCCTAAAAGTTTGCTATAATTGCAACATTATACACAAACTGTCTTAGAAAAATGTCATTGCAATACTCAGTTACATTCAAAAAGTAACAAATACAAACAATATTGCATCAACTTGAGGAATGTAATACACATCAAGTGTTTGATTTTAATGTAGTATTAATATACAGGGTATATTTTCTAACGTGATCGATATATGGAGAACTGAAAATAACACGATTTTGAAAATTCGTAGGGTCGGTGAAAGAAACATGTAGAATCCAACTAAACTATTCTTTGTGAAGCTTCCGTTTTTTTCGGAAGTGACTTCATCTTTGTTATTTTCAATGGGACACCCTGTATTTAACAAAATTTTTGGTTTCCTCTCATGATTCTGATTCATATGTCATACTGCATACATAAAATCAGAATGAATCGTTTTTTGAATTATTAGAGTATTTCTGTAAAAAGTGACTTATTTTAATGCAGCCTATCAAACATGTTCCATTTTTATGTGAACTGAATGTGAAATATGGACAATCTCAATTTTTCTCAAATGGATATCCCAATTTTTTCTCATTCTATTATAGAATGAGCCCTAGTTCCAATTCACTTCCCTATACACAAAATCCATAATTTCAGAGATATTCCATAGATAGTACTTTATTCTACAATAACTGCCTGTAATTTTGGATTTTTATAGTAGGCTGTACAAAATATCTATTGACAGATGAATTAGAGATGCATCATCTGCTAAAGTGCAAAATATGGCTCGTGCATAGTATATAACCTCTTACAAGAAAATCGGTATAATATCAAATAATTCGTTAATGTGATTCACAGCGAATGTAATTATATCTGTAATTATTATACTCAACAGGAGTCATATGCAGATGATGAATCTGACAGTAAACAATTTTAATTCATATACATCAGATATTTTGCACGTCCTACTAGAACATCCATAATTTCAGGCTGAATTTATTACTATTCATGGAATATCTCCGGAGTTATGGGTTCTAAAAGTTGCAATTTCCATTAAAATGGTGTATGTTTGATAGGCTGCATATATATATTTTTCAGAAAAACTAATAACTCAAAAACGGTTCATTGAATCAGAATCATGAGAGGAACTCAGGAATGTTGTAAAATACAGGGTCTTATTGAAAATAACAAAGATGACGTCACTTCCGAAAAAAACAGGAGCTCACAATAATGAAAATGGATTTTTCACCGACCCTACGAATTTTCAGAATTGATCTGGAAGATATACCCTGTACAAAATACTATGGTAAGCTCGGTTGTGTTAGAGTGACACCATTTTGTCAAATCAACGCCATACTGCATACTAATAGCTGTGACAAGGTTAGTAGTGTTTCTTCATTTTGCCTGATCGAAGAGCTAGTCGGTCGAAGAGGAGACTGAAGACGTGCACTGTAGTCGATGTTGCTAAAATGTAGTTCACTGATATTGATACGAATAGGAAAGGAAGCACAATGTTATCGACCGTACTTTTTCAGACTGAATTAACGTGTCACAGGATACAGGAGTTCGAGACGCAAGCATCCTCTGACCTAGAATTACGTAATAACAAAATAGAAGAATTAACGCGGGCCAACGAAGAGCTGAGGCACCAAATATCGACGCAACAGAAATCGATAGACCAGCACAAGCAGCAGGTGAATAAGTGTATAGAGGTTGTGAAGAAACTGCTCAAAGAGAAGAGTTCGATAGAGAAGAAGGAGGCGCGGCAGAGGTGTATGCAGAATAGGTTAAGGTTAGGACAGTTCGTGACGCAGAGGGTGGGGGCGACGTTCCAGGAGAACTGGACGGACGGACATGCTTTCCAGGAACTGGCAAGGTTGGTATTTATATGTTCTAGATGTAAGAAAAATCGTACATATTTGAATCATATTTTATTGTGTTATATGCATAAGGGGTGAATACACTCTGACCTCAATGGTGTATTGTGTTTTCCCTAACTTTAGCAATTTGTCTAGTGCTATATCCCTCAGAAATATCGAATATAAGGTGGTCCTAGGACGCCTAGGTAGGGTCCCTTGATGTAAATTGACATATTTGGCATCTTAACAGGGTAAGGACAGATCCTCGTCTCCTCTCACTCTAAAGTATTAGTGAAACACTAGATTTCTGACACTTTGTGAGGAAGTGAGCAAATTTTTCTGAAAGTTTAATACGTTTTACCAAATGAGACTGTTCTTAGGCAGTACCTATCTATCAATAAATGAATTCCATCCATCCAATATTTAACATGCAATAAAATCAGATCAAGACTGGTCTGGGATTGCCTTTAAAGCCTGGCAACCCTGGCTAACCACAACCAGGTAACGCTTCAATGGGTGCCAGGGCATAAGGGAATTGAAGGCAATGACACAGCTGACGCCCTTGCTTGACAAGGGTCTGCGGCGTCGTTTATTGGACTAGAACCTGTGTTCGGAATACCCAAAACCTCAATACGCGGCTGGCTGGCAAGGTGGACGCAAGAAAGACATCGGGCATACTGGAACAACGTTCCAGGACAAAGACACAGCAAACTGATGGTTGGAACACTGTCCAGAACAGTGACTAACGACATTCTGAGTCAGATCAGATAAGTGACAGGACTAATAACCGGTCACTGCCCCTTGAGGAAGTATATGCATCAAATGGGCATCTTTACAGACGAACCTGTATGCAGACTATGCAATGGGGAGGTGGAAACGGCAACCCATGTAATATTGGAGTGCGAGGCACTAGCGAGTTAGAGATACAACATTCTGGGAGCACTAAAGTCATAAGACGTTTTGATTTGGTAAAGAGGCTGTTGAACCCCATCAAGGTAGCACCTGTTCATCTGAGTCAACAGCATGATCAGGAATACAATAGGCCCAAAGGCTGCAGTGTTTTGGGCTTTGAACCCTGACTGGCCATTCTGCTATAAATCAATCAAATTCAATGAATGTTCTTATCACTACCCCATTTCTCGTAACATTGTGACACGTATATCTCGAACACCTTGAAGAACTCAACGCTTCTGGGTTTATTTATTGAATGAAATAATTGGACCATAATTCAAATGGCCCAACTAACTTTTGTTCAGTTTATATCCATGCCCGAAATGTTCTGAATTGCTGATATTTCGACAATATCGGAATCCGTGATGATAAAACTTGATCCAGATCACCCATGACGGTCGAATGTTTCAAGACGGGACTGACTAACCTAAAAACCTCGCCCAAACAACCGCGTTTTCCCACATCTCACTCATACCGATCTCGATCTGTCTTCAGGCGGCAGGAGGAGATAACGGCGGAGAGGGAGGAAATCGACAGGCAAAAGAAGCTGCTGCTGAAGAAGCGGCCGTCGAACAACGAGAGCGGCAGGAAACGCAACAACTCGTCGAACGCGATGCACAACGGCACCGACAGCGGCTTCCTTAAACCTGACGCTGTGCCCGGCTCGCTGACGTTGCAGGAGTACTACGAGGCCGACGAGATCCTGAAGCTGCGGCAGAACGCGCTGAAGAAGGAGGACGCCGATCTGCAGCTGGAGATGGAGAAGCTGGAGAGGGAGCGCAACCTGCACATCAGGGAGTTGAAGAGGATTCACAACGAGGATCAGAGCAGGTGCGTACCGAATATTCTCGATTACCAGAATAATTTATAGTTTGACTTCACCATTGTTATTTCTGAATGAAAACCTGGTTAGTAGGCGACAGGTATTACATTGTCTGTTCAGTGAAAAAAAAACGAATATCGCCCTCAATTACGACATTTTCAGTGAGCTAGTGTGACCTTTATTATCCTAACGACCCTACAAAATTTTCGATATTCTTGTTAAGATTCATCTTTCTGTCTAGCATAATCGTAAATTCTTCATGAAACGTTTCAAGTAAGAAAATTTTTCACACCAACCTGAAAATAGGAAGGTAGGAACTTCTCATCTATTATATTATAATTGCTCATCTCAATTTTAATTCATTATTATAAAATGAATGATACCTATGTTGTTGAAAAAAGAGTGCAAAATGAAACACCAAAATCAAACAAACAACCCACCTTGCAATCAACTAATAAACTCGAGATTAGACAATCAAATCAAAATTGTAATTTGTCTGAGGTGACGTTTGAAAACTTCAACCCCCCTCCCCACATATATTGTAAGAAAAGGAACACAATTATTTAATATGAAGTCATCTGACTTTGATGAATGCTCAACAATTGTAGAACTTTCTCGAGCGGTAAAGTCGTGTCGTCACAACGTCATGTTATTCGTAATTGACATTTTCAAAGCTAAGCCATCTCATGTTGTGAGGTTGGCTGAAACGGTGTCAAAATCAAGTGTTCTCGCCAATTAACAAAAAAACAAATAGTTTAGAATATAATAGAATAGAATTTATTGATCTCATAATATCAAATAATGACTTATAAAAGAACAAATTGAAATTGAAAAGTCTAGCCGAAACTAGAGCATTTGCCTTAAAATATTAAAATTGGCCAATAATATAGGTCAATAAATATAATATACAATAATATAATACAAAACTAGAAACTAACAGGTACATCAAAAATCCAGATCAACGTAAATGTTTGAGTCTTTTTCACTGAACAAACATGTTGAATGATCTGGATAAAGAGTGGTAAAAGACTCTGGTAAAACAGAAGGTAACTCATTTATGTGAATGATAAATAACAGGGGACCAAGTATGGATCCCTGTGGAACTCCTTGTGCATTTACCATACCAGTGTCGGACATACCCAAATACAAGTGTGAAAAAATGTATTTGAGATTTTGTTTATGAAAGGATATATAAGGAATATCAAATAAAAAATGTGCCAAATGAAATCTCCCAAGTACGAAAGTTTATTTTCTTCAGGTTTAACAACCACCCGGTGCTAAATGACAGGTACCTGTTGCTGATGCTTTTGGGAAAGGGGGGCTTCAGCGAGGTGCACAAGGCGTTCGACCTCAAAGAACAGAGGTATGTCGCCTGTAAGGTGCACCAACTGAACAAGGACTGGAAGGAGGACAAAAAAGCCAACTATATTAAGTGAGTGGGTAATGTAAAGAAACAAACTTCCCCTTCATGCCTTCTAGCAGCTTTCATCTTTCTTTTTTTCAGAGGTTTTTTGATATTTGAATGACTTATGACGTCGACTTCCATTGTGGGAAATGGATGAAAAATCTATAGAAATTCATAAAATTAGAACCTACCTAACCTAACCTATAAACGATCATCTAATATTATCTTCTTCTTTATCTTTCCTAGGTGTAGTTTCCATAGATATCGAGAATATTGTTCTAAGTAGATATTTTTTCTGTTCCACATACTATTTATCATACTTTGATGGGCCAAAGATGACTTCCTACATAATTGAACTCGAATTGGGAATCATTTAAATTCCTTCTTCTGATTGAAAATTGTAATGCTGTTTTTATTGGTCATCATAATGGAGAATAATTCACCATAGAGTCCCTGAACATTTGCTCATCAAGGTTCTATAATACTAGCAGTTTTTTTGCCATGTTTGTCATATATTTTGTAATCTTCTAATTGTATGTTCCTCATAATTCTCAAAAGTACATTTACTGATTTCCCATAGAAATTATTGAACTAACGCCTCTTTATGTAATTACCAGTATGTTTTTCCAACACTAATAAATCATGATTTCATAATTATAACGTTTTTTTAACTAAAGGGAAATTTCAGAGATATTTTTATGTACTGGATAATTGGCAGTGTGAATATTAGGTGCTCAGAAAAGAATGATTAATTCAAATCAAAAGTAATTTTGAAATAAGTGGTTACAAATCTGAGGTTCATTCATGACCATTGAAATTTTGTTCTCTTTTATAGATTGTGTTTACTATTATGTATCTGTATCTACTCATACCAGCATCACAGCTTACCCAAGCTGGGACAATAAACAACTGTTTTGTTTGAAGTATTTATTGATTATCATTAATAATTAAAGCCTCAGGAAAAGACAACACATGTCTCGAAAAACCTAACCTAATTCGCCCATGCCCACTCCACTCATGACAGATCGGCCTCTCCGGACACGGATCACGGAACAGAACACTATAACTAAAGTCGAGTACACAATGTGGCCAACCGACCAACGCGAGCAACGTTAAAACCATGACACATAACTTTTACATTCGTTGTTTTCCGTTTGAATTTTCAAATTTGTTTGTATCCTTAGTTTTTTTGTTTGTTTTAGGCATGCGTTGAGGGAATACAACATCCACAAGGCTTTGGATCATCCCAGGGTAGTTAAGTTATATGACGTGTTCGAAATCGATGCCAATTCCTTCTGTACTGTACTAGAATACTGTGATGGACACGATCTTGACTTCTACCTGAAGCAGGTGAGTAAAGTAAGGATCGTTTTTTTTTATTTATTATTTCATGTCATCAACAAATTCATTTCATCTCTAACAAATTCCGAGTGCATACATGGCAAACTAATATAGTGGCTGCAAATTGAAGTTGTACAAAGCTTGAAATACTTCTTCCTTGGATTTCAACAGTTTTCTTCATTTCTATATATATATTATAATGAAAATTATTTTGAAGGATATTTTGATTACCTTTCACTTTAGCGCTCAAGAGCCCCCTTGATGAATTGTGAAATTGTATACGATTTTGCTTGATTTCCATTCAATTAATTTCTGCCAAACTCCTCAGTTAACATAATAAATTCCTTGTAATTATTTCTTCTCCATAATTTGAACAGCAATATTAAGCCAATGAAGGCTGTTTCTACTTATGTTTTTGTGATAAACTGACTATAACATTCTGGAAAGCTAGCTCTGCAAATTCAATTGATGTATTTTTAAAAATTCCAAAGGAAAAATCCATTGAGGAGAATATATCGATTCATATTTTCAGATTTTCTCACAAAAAAGTTTGTGATTTTCGTCGCATACGTTTTCAATAAATTTGGATACATAATTATATTGTATTAGATTTACCGAGAGATTTACAAACTTGTTACCTGTGTAAAAATAGAGAAAACAATATTTTGAATTTGAGAAACTGTTCCTCACTTTTAAATTTTTTGCAAATCTGGAACAAAGCTTGCTGCAGAACCTTAGGAAAAAAAACAAGGTTTGATTCAATTGCCATCTCGTGTAATTTTGTCAGTTGGTCAATAGAAACATAATTCGTAATTTACAAAATGTTGCATACTTTTGAATTGGTTGCAAATCTCTGACATACAGGCTGATTCACAGTGGATGGCACATTAAACGTTTCTGGTGAACCAGACAACGGAGCATTCTGAAAATTTATTGGAGGGCATATTCGGACATTCTCTAGCCAACTAAAATATTTTCGACAATGCGGTGTTGCCGCTTCTATTAGAAAGCAGTAGCAACTTTGATTTTTCAAATGGAACACTCTGTATTTTATTGCATTTTTAGATTCTCCCTGAAGAGCAGATTTCATCGATGTATCACACTTGGGGTCTAGCGGAAATGATTACAGAGATATAGGGTGTGAAAAATCGACATTTTTCAACTTTAAGAATTTTTTGTGTCGAAACTATTCATCATTGGTCAAAACGGCTTACATGTCCCTATCTCAACTTTTGATTAACTATCTACTGATATTTAATTGGGACACATACCGGGTGATCAAGATTCTGATTTCTGCACCACCCTGTATTTGTTTCAATTAAATGTTAGTAGATAGTTGATCAAAAGTTGAGATAGGGACATGTGAGCCGTTTTGACCAATAATGAATAGTTTCGACAAAAAAAATTCTTAAAGTTGAAAAATGTCGATTTTTCACACCCTATATCTCTGTAATCATTTCCGCTAGACCCCAAGTGTGATACATCGATGAAATCTGCTCTTCAGGGAGAATCTAAAAATGCAATAAAATACAGAGTGTTCCATTTGAAAAATCAAAGTTGCTACTGCTTCCTAATAGAAGCGGCAACACCGCATTTTCGAAAATATTTTAGTTGGCTAGAGAATGTCCGAATATGCCCCCCAATAAATTTTCAAAATGATCCGTTGTCTGGTTCACCAGAAACGTCTAATGTGCCATCCACCGTGAATCAGCCTGTATATTGAATCAACATATTCAATGTCACACTAAGTTAATCAACTTTTTATTATGAAAGGATTTTTTTTCAATTGCAATTTTAACAATGTTGTGATATATTTTTTTGGTACACTGAATCAGTTGACCAAAGTATCAAAACCATTCATTGTTGGTTTTTTTATGATGACATTTTTTTTTTTAATGTTCATCCTCAACAATCTTGAAGAAAATATTCCCAAACGTCTGCAAAATCAAAAGATGAATCCGAAAATTGTGTTTTTTTAGTGGTCATTTTTGTGAGCAAGGTGTTTCGGTGTTTTTCATAAAAAAAGATACATTTTTAATTTGATATCTATCTTCAGATTGGTTGTGAATAATCAATCCTAAGGAAATACAGAGTAGTTCGATGTAACTGCAATTTTAACAATGTTCCAGACTATGGAAAAGTTCGCAAATGGGAATTATATTTGTATGATTCAGAATGTCTACAGGGTGGAGACTTGAACTGGAATCTGGAATAAATTCGCTCCTGGGGTAGTCAATGATTTTTCTGAAAATTCGTGATACACGTCAACGTTTAAATGTATTTACCTACATTTGACGAGAAAACAGGAGAAAATAACCCTTCAGGGGTAGCTGGAATCAACCCCAACATGTTTTCTTCAAATGCAACCTTATGGCTTGCAATCCCCCATTGGAAAGCTGGTTGACAGAGGAATCCAGCGTACTGATTATATTCCAGGTTGCAAAACGTTCAAAAGTTCAATATATTCTCAACCTATTTTCATCAAAATTTCGACATTTATTGACAGTAATATAGGGCATTTCCACCAGTTTGCAATAACACCTCGTTTCAAACTGTGAATACTGCAAAAAAATGTAAATTTCTTTTTGCGGCTCCATAAAAACACTGGAATACAATAGCAGATAGCAGTTGTGGCAAGAAATTGCCATTAATTGTTCAACACACATTTTGAGCGATTGATACGTTGAGAAAAAGAAATAATTTCGAAATTACATTTCAATATTATGCAACCTTTCTTCTTCTTCTTCTTTTGGGTTTATTGGATTTCTGTCTCCTTTCGGTAACAATTTCTCCAGATCAGGTAATTGAATTTTTTCAAGAATTATATATGGTTATGTAATATTATCTCTCGACTCGAGCACTAAAGACACCGTAGTCCGTCACCATGCCCGGAAGCCGAGTTCATCAAAGTTCAAGATTCTATCGTATGTGCTCCTACTGGAGCACGTTTGATTTCAAGTATGGCCCCTTTACCCGATGAATCCGTCATCATCCGGCCTCTATACCGGCGTAGAGATGAAAGGGCTTGATTCACACACACTTATTAAACTCCACAATAATTATTGGATTTTAATCCAGAATTAGAAAAATTTTAGACTTGCACACACATTAACCCGACTTTTGACCTGGAGACGCCATGTGTCTCCTTCCATGGTCAAAAGGCGAATCCTATGCAACCTTTAAACGTATGAAAAACTAAAATCACTAGTACGCTGGATTCCTCTTTCCACCAGCTTTCCAATGAGGGCTCACATGGCATAGGGTCACATTTGAATAAATTATGTTGAGGGTTGTTTCAGCTCCCCCTGGAGGGATATATTCTCGATATTGCTTGCAAAAGGCAGGTAAATACATCAAATCGTTGACGTATAAATCACCTCCCGGCTGCGATTTTACTAAATATACTGTACGCTAGCACAAACCACGCCCACCGTAATATCTCATCTTCGAAATACTTAGGCAAAACTCAGAGACTATTTATCCTTAACGAACTAACCTATCCCTGATTGCAATATTTTTGAGGTAGGAAAACCGAATGGAGTGTAGAAACACATTGATTAATTATATATTTCAAAAGTTGAGTTCTTCAACAAAATTGAATAAAATGAGACTGTTTATCCTAAACGCACTAACCTCTTGGCTTCAAATATTTTATGAAAAAGGAAAACCAGTGTTGAAAAGGAATATTCTCAGATGAATTATGAACATACAAAAATGGATATATATTTATATAAAGCAATACATTGAGAATTCGCATTCTCTATGTGATGAGAATATTTACTCTTTTTCAGTTAATTCAATAGAAAACAACTACTTTCCTATTGAATTAACTGAAAAAGAGTAAATATTCTCATCACATAGAGAATGCGAATTCTCAATGTATTGCTTTATATAAATATATATCCATTTTTGTATGTTCATAATTCATCTGAGAATATTCCTTTTCAACACTTTCATACCCAATCAGGGGGTTCAAACTTGAACGATGGAAACTTGTGATTTTTATAGACCTCTAATCGCAGATTCGTGATAGAGTCTCAATTCAGAATTCATTTCCACGCCCTGTATGATGAATGTCAATTTATCATACACCCAAAAGGAAAACCAGAATGAAGTAAAAAAACATTGGTGGAAAAAAAAGTTGCAAAAAAAAGTTCAAGTTCACAGCGATTCGAACCATGGACCTTCAGACTAAAAGTCGACAGCGTTAACCAGTAGACCATTTGGGTATATAAATTTATTGCGTACAAGAGAATGACAACGAGAGAGCTTCAGTCGAATTCGTGTCAAAATCATGAAAAGTGTATTCTTGCGTTGGAGCACAGTATATTTAGTGCGATGTGCTGACTCCGAGTATATCGGTAATGTTTGGAGATATGACGTATTATGGTGGGCGTGGTTTGTGCTAGCGTGCAGTATATTTAGTAAAATCGCCTCCCGGCTATCGAATCTATTCCAGTTAAAGTCTCCACACTGCATAATGATTGGCTAAAAATGTAAAGACTAGAAAAAAAAACGATTTTAGAATCAAGGTACTCTAAAAATAGTAACACTGCTTTAACATAATAATTCATTCAGAAGATAAAAAATACCTGATTCGCGAGCGCCAAACTCAAAATGATGATAACCACCGATCTGGAACCACCGTGACAGTCGAAATTGTTTCAAGACGGGACTGATTTCATTCCATTTCACCCCCCTGCCGAACAATCTCTCTTGCCGAGTATTTCACGCCTTCGGCACTTCCAGCACAAAACGATACCGGAACGGGAGGCGAGATCCATCATCATGCAGGTGGTGTCCGCCCTCAAGTACCTGAACGAGATCAAGCCGCCCGTCATCCACTACGACCTCAAGCCGGGCAACATCCTGCTGACCGAGGGCAACGTGTGCGGCGAGATCAAGATCACCGACTTCGGCCTGAGCAAGGTGATGGACGAGGAGAACTACAATCCCGACCACGGGATGGACTTGACGTCGCAGGGTGCAGGCACTTACTGGCAAGTACCAAAGCGATTATATGGATACATTTTACTTGATATTTTCTAATCCCAAAAAATCTCTTAGTCTTGAGATTCTAGGTTTATCACCATCTGTTAGTGGAACATTAAACCACTTTGAGAATTACAGGTGTTGCGATAGTCTACAGAATCTGAGATGGATGGCTTTGCTGTAAGCATATAGACGTAGGGGTCTATATGCACGACTTAGTCACAAGGTATGATTGATGAATCTACCTATACACCTTGCACTTAAGCCACTAGATGGCTATGAAGGCTAGATCGTCCTTCTGTCCTCTCAGGGCTTCGACTTGTTTGATATATGGAGGTACCCTTCGTGAATCGATTGTCAGGTGGCCAGTGCAACTGATGAGACTTATGGCAAGTCGAAACAGTCTGTCTTGCATCAGCTGACAATCGATTCACGAAATTTCCCTAGAATCTCTTAGTCTTGAGATTCTAGGTTTATCATCAAGTAAAATGAATGTACGACCTCCTCGATTAACCTACAGACAGTATTTAACGATTATATGGAGTTTGTAATTATCAATGAAAACCTGATTAGTAGGCGAGAGGATTGATGATGTTGCCTGTTCAATGAGAAAAAATCAGAAATTTCTCTTATTGACCACATTTTCAGGAAGCTAGTCAAGTGACCTGATACTACAGAATTTTGTTATAAAATTGAGAAATTAATAACGAACCTCCAATGTCAGACTAGAGAGAGAGAGAGGGAGAGAGAGAAAATCTTTATTAGGGATATACCTCAAAAGGCCATTGACCGAAGTCTTTCAGCCCAGTTTACAAAATATAATATACAAAGTAGGAATAATAATAATAATAGTTCATTAAGAATAAGTTTATTGCTTGCTATCCTGTTTGCTGCAGTTGGGTCAGTCCTTAAAAAATAGTTATTTCTGTAAATTTTCTTTTTCTTATGAGATTTTCCGGCAGCCCAATAACTTGTGGACGGATCACTGGGATATTGTAGGCGGACTTCGCAAATTTTGTGTCTGTGGAGTCGTTGGAGGATGAGTTCTACTTTAGTTAAATTGTATAGTAGGGTATTTGATGGATTATGTAAGGGATTATTAGGATGTCTGATTTTAGTAATGGCTCTCAAAAAACTTCTTTCTGCAACTTCAATGTGCTTCAGGGTAGCTTTTCTGCATGTGCTGAACAAGATGAAGCTGTATTCAATTAGAGGACGACATATGGCTTTGTATATTGATGTCGCTGTTGTTGTCTTTATTCCCTGAGTCTTGTACGTCAAACCACGAAAATGTTTGGCTCTTCCAATTGTTTTCTTTTTGACTGATATGAGATGTCTCTGGAACTTGAGTTTATTGTCTAGTAATACTCCAAGATATCTAGTTTCTACTACTGGTTTAATGGTCTCATTCAGAATATCGATGGTCGGGGAATTGTCCTTTATTTTATGGTGGAAGTTTACATTTTTTTGGATTAGGTGTTAATCTCCAGTTACAAAACCATCCAGTCAGAGATGTTATGTCAGACTAAAATATCATAAATATATAATTTCCATTAAACTACTACACTGGCTGTATCAAATAGGAACCAGCCCTATATTTCTGTAGGCAAAATCCAACATGGTCCTTCGAGCCGGATCATCGAATAGCTGTTGCCGCGCCTTCTACTGAGATAAAAGAGAGTGAGTCGTAAACTATTTAGCTTCTGTTTTCTCTTTGCACGATCGGGTTTTTCGTTAATTAAATATTTCGTGCAACCAACTTGGAAACGAGGTGGTGTTAAGGCCAAACTAACTATTTTCAAAAACTATTTGAAAGAGTTTGATGCTCTTGAAAAACCTGAAGATTCTTTCATTGAACTAGACCTTCGAACTATTTTGCCTACAGACATATGGCACTAGTTCCCACTTGATACAGTTGATGTAGTAGCTTAATAACGAAATTATACAGGGAGATGTGAGCATATTATTATCATCTTATACGCGAGGATATCGTGGCGCTTTTTCCCGCTTCCATCTCTATTTCACTGGTTCTCCATACGAAATAAGAAGTCAGCCGCCTTGATTTGTTCACTTGCTGACTTGCTGAACCCCTTAGAGGAGCCCATAGACTGTGTTGTTGGTGGGCTGTTTTGTTCGTTGAACAAGTATGTTCAAACAAAAATGAAGCAAAACCGAAGTGCATGGTGTGTGGCTAGCAAAAACGACCATTTTGCAGCCACACACTTCGGTTCTGCATCATTTTTGTTGGACCCTTTTCACGCAAGCATTCATTTCATGGCCTAGCAACAACCGTCATAAAAAGTGTACTTTTTTCACATTTTCCGTGGAATGATGAATCAGTAATTTGATATTGAAAAATTGTACACTCAAGGCACATAAAATATATTAAAAAAGTGCAGGTTTTTGACAATTTTAGAGAAAAGTACTCTTTTATTCTTGAATACTTAATCTCTACTGTGAGCAAATTGCTTCTTGAGGAATAATATCCCATTTTTCAGAAAGGCTGTGTTCAACAAAATGACGAATGTTACCATTGTATCACTGTGTCCATACAAGCATCAATGTAATGTTATGTATTGTTAATGGAATGGAAAAATTGCAACAGTTCTTTTCAAAATTTGTACATTCTCTTACAAAGCAGATATTGACATAAATCAAATGACGTTTTGTTGAGAGAAGATCACACTTCATATAAAACGTGATGAAACTAAATTGTGCCTCTCAAATTTCCTACAATGGATTAAGTATTTGAGGGGGAAGAAGTACCTTCCCTAAATGGTGGTTGAGCCATCAGTATTTCTTTCTTCATCAAAGTGGTTTAGAAAAGAGAGAGAGGGAAGATCCAGTCATGGAAATTTGTGACCTTTCTAATACTCATAATTTTTGTTATAGGTATCTTCCCCCAGAATGTTTCGTAGTCGGTAAGAATCCTCCGAAGATTTCTTCGAAAGTGGACGTTTGGAGCGTAGGTGTGATATTTTATCAGTGTCTGTATGGCAAGAAGCCGTTCGGACACAATCAGTCGCAAGCGACGATACTAGAAGAAAATACCATTTTGAAGGCGACTGAGGTTCAGTTCGCCAACAAGCCTGCCGTTACGAATGAAGCCAAGGTAAGGATGAAATGAACTGATTTTTTTTATTCTTTTTTATTCTTGATCTTCATACTAATGAATGCCTTCAATTTTATTATTCTGAATTGTTTCAAGATCTCAGAATCACAAGTGATGTGACAGTTTCATTCAAACTGACGCCTCGACTCAAAGTCTCAATGTCAATGTCAAAGTACATCTGTAAATAACAGAAATCTACTATGTGGAGATATTCCTTTCTGTTTGCTTCATTCTCAACTGGATAATATTTCCTTCATACAGGAACTTAAGGAGGGGTTTACCCTCTGAAAAAGGTCAAACTTTATCTAAGGTGTAAAGGGGGAAGTAAAAATCCTGTCCGAAGGAGGCGGGGCCCGATAACGAAGGAAGTCGTCTAGTGTCTCACTCCAACTCATTCTAGCGTAAAATATTTCAACATTTATAGTAAAAGCGGCCTTGAGTGTTACCCCTATGCATCTGCGGTCGCTGAATTCTCCGAATACCCACAGGCACAGCGTACAAGTTGTGCTTTAGGCAATATACATCTAGTGTAGAGGAGAACGAGGCACAATCCTCTTCCTTACAGACTTTTTTTTTTTCGGAGTAGAAAGATATAGGACCTTTACCACCTTGAATATATATGATTATTACATAATATTCCAGCTTGACTACTTTTTTCTATGGTACCGAAAAAAGTTATAGGCGACCAAACTCGAAAATTAAAGAAAAAAATAACTTTGCGCGTAAATATATAAACCTTTGTAACTTCGCAATTATAACACTTATATACGTAGTCTTTTCATAATTTGATCAAGCATATTCTGGAGATTCGATTCATATATAATATGTTGGGAAATTGAATTATTTTTCGATCCAAAATGTATCATTTTGTACAGAATTCGCGAAAAAATTTCCATTGTCATCTCTTCAGTTTATCATAACTTTTTAGTTCACGATATGAATTTCGATTTTTATGATATCTTTCGATAGATTGAAATGTAAGCAACAAATTGTTTCTTATAAACTTTTCGCACGTTTCAAAAATGAACTTTGTAGAAGCATTTATTGTCTAATGCGTAAGAGGCCATCCGAGCGCACGAGTGAGAACGATACAGCGGCGTTTACGTGCTCTAGACAAGAACAAACAGTAAAGATTCGGGGAGGATAACTGTCTCATTTGGGAATGGAGAAAGGAGCGTTCTTGATTGAATATGTAGGTAAATAACTTCAGTTCATGAATATGGTCCCAAAATAATTCACTTCAAAGGCAACGAAGTGAAAATGGTAAAGAAAAAATACCAAGAAGATACCTATTGGGAGATGCTAGAATTTTCCAAACATGCGAGTCCCCAGAAAAATTGATCAACATTATACAGCTGGAAAAACTATAGTATAACAATATGGTATATTTATGATAAAAAACTTTTCCTCCGATTGGCAGCAAATATTAATTTTGCTGACACATATCAATCAGCAAAGTATTACTTTTCCTGCCTAGGCAGCAAAGTGGGTACTTTGCTGATTGATATGTATCAGCAAAATTAAAAATCCATAAATCGTTTATAATTTCCTTCATATTTCATCCGAGACTTCTCCGGCAACAAATTCAACTCTTTATTTTTTGCCACCTCCCTTATTAATGGAGGTGTAAGTATACTTCCAGGTCGCTATTACTGTCCATTATATAATAATTTGAATAGGTATACCGATATTTTTTCGCACAACAGTCAGAAATTTCATGAATCGTCAAACCAACAACTGCGATTTCTATCAAATTTTATTTTAATTGAACACTATACAGGAAGAATTAATAAAGAGATTGTGGGAATTGTATTAATTCGCAAATACAATATTCTCCCATATCATTATGAACAATCGGAGAAAAAATTATATGTTCAACTCGGCAGCAAAGTAGATTGACTGCCTTAGCTGGATTCCTAGCCTCGCTACGCTCGGCTATGAATTCAGCCACGGCAGTCAATCTACTACTTTGCTGCCTAGTTAAACAAATAACTATTTTCAGAGTCTTTGAGAGGAATGTGTGATAAATTTTAGTTAGATTCAATGTTTTATATTAAAATTGACATTCTTAGCGAGCAAATATGTAAATTTATCGGCATAAATCTATTATATTCATCATATCTGTGGATGGAGCTCTTGATATTATTTCATCTTCGTTCCGCACTCATGCACCAGTATCTATCGCACGCTGTCTCACTCACTGTGCATGACCTATCTAAAGTTGTACGTTATCACTCAAAGCGCTATAAAAAGTTTATTTTTGAAACGTGCAAACAAATTGTTCATTACACTTCAATCTATCTAGATGTAGATGAAAAGAATTGAAATTCATATCGTGACAAAGAAAGTTATTATCAATTGAAGAGGTGTTAATGCTAAATTACTCATGTGATGCGTGACAAAAAAATTATTTTCACATATAAAAAACTCAATTTTGCCAGTTAATATACCATGGATCGAATCCGATCGAATCTTCATCATATCCTCAACAAAATGATGATAAGTTGAGGCATCTAAGTTATGTAGTCTTCAAGTTACAACGGTTTATACATTTACATGCGAAGTAGATTTTTTTTGTAATTTTTTTAGTTTGTTCGTTTATAACTTTTTTCGGTACCATGGAAAAAAGTAGTCAATTGTTTCTAGATAGGATAGTGAGGGTCTGATATCTTTCTACTTCCAAAATTTTTTTTAATTACTTTCACCTTGTGTCCCGCTACACTAATAACTATGAGGACGACATGTTTTCACGTAAAAATCACCTTGCTCGTTTCATCCCCTTTGCCTTTACTGATGCCAGCCGCCAGCCCCTCAAAAATGTTAAATGACATTGTAGGGGTGATAAGTTTTCAAAGAAATATACCCGGTATACCCTATATGAGCATAAATTAGTGGTATGTATCAACTCAACTGCAAAAATATAATTCGAAAGTACGAATCTGAATAATAGAAAGGCAGCAAAAACAGTTCAAGATAGGGAGTTTTTTACAGAAAAATACTGCTATTCGAATAACTTGCACTCACCTATACATGATTAAATTTATTGATTGACGACAAATGCAAATGGAATATCAAAATGCATTGTTACAGGGGAAGAAAAATAACTATTACATGAGTGGAATTTTTTGGTTTGTATAAGCAGAATTTATATTGTGTAATAAACAACGCCATATACAGGGTGTCTCAGGTTTTACTCGTCTAACTTTGACAATCGATAGCAAAACTCAAAATATTAGATACGTATTTTTCTGTTTTGTCATGGAGAAACATGTTTTAATTATACGGGGTGTAAAGGATCGCCTACATTTTTGGTTTTTAATTTCTGTCTCAGTTGAAACAAAACCTAGCGATCTGAAATTCGATGAGCACTTTTCTATCGGCAATATGAACAGTCCTTATCCATTGAAAAAACTGGATGTTATCGTCACCCCCAATGGGAGTAACGATGTTATTCTTTTTCGAGCCCTCTGACATGGAACTCGTCAGATTTTTTTTTATTGGGACGCTAGTGGGTGGATCGAAGCTAATGAAAAATCATTATTATTTCTTCACCACACTTTGTGTTTTTCATTTGTTTCAATATCTTTCGTGTACGTGAACCATTCAATATTCAATTCGAATGATAATTTGATGTAAGATAAACATTTAGGTTATAAAATTGTTATATATGCATAGTAGGTGTAACATTATTTCGAATAACAAGGAAACTAAGGAGGATAGGGACAGTTCATATATAACAGATAGAAAAGTGCTTACCGAATGTCAAATCTCTAGGTTTGGTTTCAACAAAAATAAAAAATAAAAACCAAAAATTCATGAGACCTCGAACACCCCGTATAAAGAAAACAAGTGTCTCCACTACAAAACAAATAAATACGTGTATAATATTTCAATTTTTGCTTTCGATAGTCTAAGTTAGACGAGCTAAACCTGAGACACCCTGTATATATTACAGGAACAACTTCAATTTGTAATCTCCATATTCCTTTCGAATCTACTATCCACTATTTCGATTACATTTTATTTTGCCAACATTCATCATTGCGAGGTATATTTTGACAGATAGTCTTCTGCGGTATTTATTACCACTTCGATAATTACTTCTCGACATTATAACTTTTGCTCATACAAATAATGCACAAATATTGAAAAACGCAAATGTCACTGTCGGAATACTGAAGTAAACTGAACAAAAACAATATTCAAATCCCCCGTGTATAACACGAATTCCAGGATTTTCGAACCCTTTATGTCCGCCGCTTTTATGCTCACCGCCTTTATGTCCATCGCTTGCCGCTTGCCAAACATGTTCAATCTTTTATCAGCTAATTGGGTGAGTCACCTGGAGCAAAACTATTATTCTTCAATGAGAGATTTCTCTGTTTATCTATTTCCAGAAGGCAAATTCCTAATGTTGACAAGAATATTAAAATATATCTAACTCGTATATTATATAATACCAGTTATTACCTAGAATAAATATGATGGAACTTCTGGCATTCCTTATATTCGCATTTTGAAATTATTGGAATTGGTGTCCTACCTGCAAACCATACGTATTTTTATTATATGGGTTACCTTATAAACGTACCTATACGTCGTATACAAAAATTCAATCAACCCATCTAAAACTTCTTTTGGTTTCATCTCCAGTGCTAAAATTTTCTGAATAGCTTCAGTGCTACTTTTTATGAATGAATTCACTATTCATTCAATCATTCATAGTATCCATGTAGAAGTGCATATTCGTGTGAGGGCGCTCGTATCAGTGAAGAAAAATGATCCAAAATTGCGTCTGCAGAGGTCCAGCAAAAATCACTTTTGATGGTGATATTTTGAATGGATCCTTGCGAATTTTTTTGACAACGAAGATAAATGTATAAGTGAGGCATCTCTCGAAGTACTTTTCGAAAAAAATATATATCTAGTGAGAAAAAAAATAGTGAATCTGGTCAATTTTCTGGAATTTTTTTCGACTATTTTTTTTCAAAAATTTGAAAAAGTACTCCGAGAGATGCCTAGATCCAACCTTCTAGAAACGATCCGTGAAAAAAAATCTTGAATTTATTTAGCGAGCTTCGAGTATTTTGATTTCTGCCGTTCCTTGTTTCCCCAATGATCGCTCATAGGGTTAAACCCCTCTTAATTGATTTTTTTCTAGAGAAGAATTCCTGTCATCCAATCTTTTAGACTATAGTTGTGTTTTATTTGCTACAATAAAACGAGAAGCTTGATGACCTGGCATGAGAGAATTTGACATAATATAAATCAAAGGGGTTATATTCATATATTTGGGCTCCGAATAATTTCAATATCATAAAACTAGATTTGAAAATCAAGAAAATGGATTAAATGAAGCAACGCATATTTGGAGCAGTGATTGTGGTGCTTCAAGAGAATTCTCTGAGACCGAGCGGATTCATTTTATCTGGGAATGAAGATATGAAACCTGTCTTACTTGAGAGAATCATAAAATCGTGAACCTCACGATAAAAATGTCTTCTGAATGTCTTCTACCCTCAAAAAGTTTCGATTTTTGCATAGTGTCAATCCACATCATTCCATTTAGTGAGACTGAATGAAAAGAAATCGGTAAAGTTGCAAATAAAACGACACATCAAAGTGATTCCGGTGGCGGAATCGGATAAATAAAACGCAACTTTAGACTACCAATTGTCAATCAATCAAGCAAAAAGAAATAGTAATGATAACTTTCTTCAAGCATCCAACAATAAACCGTTGGATGCTTGGAGGCTAATCAACTATGAAAGAAATTCCGCTAGTAAACCTAATTTCAACGCCGAGATTGACCCTGATGACTTCAATTTATTCTTCACAGATATAGCCGAACAAATTATTAAAACTCTACCAAAAAATAATCTGAACCCAATAAATTGCCTAGCTCATTTACCAAAACCAAGAGAATCACTCTTCATGCTGCCTGTTGACTCTGAGGAAGTAAAATTAGCTATTCATAAGCTGAAAAATTCTAGTTGTCCGGATATCTATCACTTGAACAGCAAAATCATAAAAGAAACAATAGAATACTTGACTGAACCACTAACAGCGCTCATAAATCGCTGCCTAAGCGAAGGTCACTTTCCTGATATATTCAAAGTGAACAAAGTCATTCCAATTCATAAAAAAGGTGATAATACACTGCCAGACAACTATAGACCTATCTCCATAATTCCCATCTTTAGAAAAATCATAGAAATCATTCTTAAAGACCGCCTAACTAGTTTTTTTCAAAAACACACTATCATAAAATAAATGACCACCAGTACGGGTTCCTTAGCAACCGTTCGACAATTGTAGCAGTCCTGGAGGTAGTCCGTAACATTGTTGAGAATCTCGAGAGAGGCGAACATACTGCTGTCACAATGTGGGACTTGAGTAAGGCTTTCGATTGTGTTAACCACGATTTACTGATAGAGAAGCTCAATTTCTACGGGATTCGTGGTACGGCATCGGACCTTCTCAAGTCTTACTTAACCAATAGGAAGCAATCCGTCTGTATAGATAATTCTTGCTCTGATGTTAGGCATATAAAACACGGATTCCTCAGGGCTCTTTTCTCGGTCCCATACTATTTGTAATATACATCAACGACATTTTTACCCACTTATTGCCTAACATCTGTGTATGTTATGCAGACGACACAACGATGTTGCGGGCTGGCACTAGTGCTGTAGAACTCATGCAAACTACCAACAGAGTTCAAGAGAAAGCAGAAGAGTGGTTTTCCGCAAACATGCTGAAAATTAACAAAAACAAAACGCAAAAAATTCTGATCTCAACAAACAATAATCTGATATCTAATCAACATACCAAATTACTAGGCATTGTTCTTGATGATGGTCTGAGATGGGAAAATCACTTAGATCAGCTTTGCAAAAAACTTGCTACCCAGCTCTATTTACTTCGTCAGATGAAGAAAGTGTTGAGTATGGAAGTATTACTTATGTCTTATCACAGCCTATTTCAGTCACACCTTTCATATGGAGTGTTACTATGGGGCAATTCGACTTATTCAATTAGAGCTTTTCGCATGCAGAAAAAAGCACTCCGTATTCTAGCTGGGGTGAAATATGACGAACACTGCAAACCACTATTCAAGCAGTTCAAAATTCTAACTTTACCATCGCTATTCATATCAAACACCTTAACACATTTCCGCAAGAATATCCACACATATGAGACCCATGCAAGCATCCACAACTATCCAACAAGAAATGCAGGACACCTTAGACCTCCAAGGCTTAAGCTAACAACATCTACACGCAACACTTTGGACGTTAACATATATAACAAACTCCCATCACACATTAAAAACTTGAATATCTACAGTTATAAAAACACAATCAAGAAGCTCCTTATTGAAAAAGCCTTTTATTCAACTCAGGAATATATGGAGACTCCATTCATTTAGGTACCTGAACCTTCACTGATAGTTCGTCTGTACTCTATATTGTGTCTATGTATATAGTGTAGTATTATGTAATTTAATTTTTTGTATTTTATTGATCCACTGAGATTTCTTAACTTTTACTTATAATGATTATTAGTCCTACTAACTAACCTTCATTCATATTTTATATTAGATTACTGATTTACACTTATTTTGTTTAATGTTTTGTATAATAGGTACGCCCAATTATCTGTACCACACTTTTGACTTCTTACAAATGTATTTATGCATAACGTGGTTAAATAAATTCTAATTCTATTCTATTCTATAAGACTACATGTATGTATATCCGTTGTTGCAGGGCTTCATCCGCAGTTGCCTGGCCTACAGAAAGGAGGACCGCATCGACGTGCTGTCGCTAGCGCGGCACGAGTACCTGCAGCCGCCCATGCCCAAGCACTCGCGACTCACCTCCACCCAGCAGCAGCAGCAGCAGGCGCAGCAGCAGCAGCAACAGCAACAGTCGGCCTCCTTCTCCACCGGCATCTTCGGCGCGATGAACGCGTCGTCGTCCTCCTAGTGCACCCGGAGACGGAAGTCGAACTCGTAGTGTAATTTTCCACCCCGGACGACACGTGACGATTTTCTCGGATTCTTTTCTTTTTTTTCTTGTTTTTTTTTCTCTCGTTGTTGAGTGATTACGTTGTGAATAGTGACGCTTTTTTGAGTGCGGACCTGGAAATCTCTTCTCTTCGATGCTTTGGATGGTGATATTCTTTCCCCGACAAAAAAACCGGTCAGCATGAAATTTTTTGCCTGATCGCCCTCTAACTTCTTTGATTCTCATCAGATTTTGGTGAAATTTCGACCAAATCGTGAATTTATGTTTCGGAATGGTAACCTGAATTTTAGTTTTCAAAAAAAGCTGGTGGCTCGATCATTATACAGGAAAAAACAAAAGTTACTACTCCACACTGACTTCTTAATGCCCTGTGGCAAAGGTGACTGGTTAAACTTAGCTTATGATCCCTTGTCAACACAATGGTTTTTTATTCACGTCGATATCTTCTTTTTAAGAGAAGATTAAAGTATTTCAAGAAGGGGTAGATTGTAGATTGTAGATGGGTCGTATAGGCTGGGAGACCTCTCGATCACTGCGACCTAGAAGATCTAATCTATTGTGATTACCCCTATCTAGTTTTGGTCCTCTAACCCTAGACTTCTGATGAAGCCTACGATTTTCCTGACGGTTAAATTTTCCACTTCAGCAGGGGTGAGATAGACCTGTTCTAGGTGGTTCAGCCTTTGGCGGACTAATACTTCACATGAGCAAAGTATGTGTTCCGCGGTTTCGGTCGTATTGTTACAAAAGCGGCAAGTGTCGGTGGTACCTCAGAGGGCCGTGTCCTGTGAGAAAGCCTGTGATAAGCTTTAGCTCTGGTTTGCTGAGACTGAGTAGCTCTTTGGCTCGGTTCTGCGAATGGTTGATGAACCTTTTCGCTTGTCGTTGACCTGGAGAAGGGGTATTTTTCAAATTTGCAGAACCTACCTGAACTTATTTACAACTCTAAGAAACAACTTTGAAATGCCATTGTCACCCCATTTTCTTAGAATTCTCTAGCAAAGAGAAGCTTCAAATACTGAAAAAGAAGAAGAATGAAACCTTCTAGATGAGTGTGGTCTCCTGGAGCCAACCATGTTGATTAAATTTCTCAAGCAGTCATGAGGAATTGTCTCAAATTCCTCTAGAAGGGCAAATCGTAGCTCTTTGAGTCGCTGTCAAGGAAGGACAAAGGTGAATAAGCCTGGTTTATCCCAAAGATTCTATAAGTTCTGAATTATTGTTAATAAAAATTCTAAAAATCCCAAACTTCCTTAAAACGTTTGTATATTGTTAGGTTACCCCAAGTGATCAGGTGGTTGCCGCAAGTGGCCAGTAGGACTACGTATACTCATCAGATGCCAAAAGCTACTAACGCCATCGTTAGTGAGTTGAAACAATGCCGCAGTAATCAATTCAGTTCATAGGTGGCTGTATTAGTATCGTGTATGAACGGTGGTTATGCTACAGAACCACTAGTAGAGCGCCGATGAATTATTTGTTATGTGGTTATCTGGCATGACCAGTCGGAAGCAAAGTGTTAAAAGAAGATATTGACTTGGATCAAAAACCTTTGTGTTAAGAAAGGATTACCCTTCAATCCAACACAGAGAAGCTGAGTTTAACCTCTCACCTTCTCTACAGAGCCTTAATAAGTTGAGGGTGAAAGATCAACTTTTGCTTCTCCCTGTATATTGATCAAGCAATCAGTGTTTTTGAAGAACTAAAATTCACGCAAACAAAAATCTACGATTCCACCAGAATCGGGAGAGAATTTAAAAAGTTACAGGGCGATCAGTTTGGCAAAACAAAATTCTGGCTGTTTTTTTTTGCCGGTGAGTGTATTCCACTAGAATTGAACTGAATCAGATAATAAGCTTTCATTCAAAAGACTTTAATTCCGTAGAAGGCATGTTAACTGATTTAGTTCACTTCTAATGAAATATTTCAGTTGGTTCTGAACAAAAGAATATTGCTTATGGCTTCCCTTTTACTACATGATGTGACAGTTGATGCGTGAATTCGATATGGGAGGGGGTTGGTTGTTTGGGCGGCCAGGCTGTTTTTGTTTTTGTTGTTGATTGTTGGCGAATTGTCTTTGGTCAAGTGATGGATGTTGAGAGGTTGGTGTATCTGGACCACATCAAATCTCTAGCGGCAGAAAATTCGCCACTTTTATCAGATTTTGAAAAATGAAAGAATCAAAATTGATGGCTTGGTGGCTATAATAATTTTTTCAACATCAACCATAACATACAAAAAATCATTTTCAATGGATTCAGTGTTCAATGATGCACTTCTAATTGATTTATTTAACTTTCTGAAAAAATATGAATGAAATTTGAATACACATTTCAAGTAGCATCAAATTTGTTGAATTAACTATGGAAGCACAATTTGTTATGTTGAATCATTAATTCTGTTTTTCATGTCCTTGAATTTGATGAAAATGTCAACTTTCCAGTTTGTGGCGACTGATAATTCATGTCATTCAAAGTCAGAATTTGAATTCGAAATTGTACAGGATAGTCAACAGATAGGTGGAAAGATCTAACATTTTCAAATATTGAGTTGTTGATTTTCAAGGTAAGGAACTGTATCTATACATATGTCAGAATATTTATTGGCCCTAATGATTATTTGAAATTATGAAATTTTGATTTTTTGAAAATATTACTGGAAATCATTTCTCAAGGTTTTTGGTGATTTCCTCTCTTCTAAATAGAAATGTGAGTGCTATCTCTATATATGTGTTCCAAAATGTCACTGCATTGAAAATAGGTCACTATTAGTAACAAAAAATATATTTCTAATGGTGACAACTTGTTTGAAATGTTTGAAGGAAAAGTATATACATCATAAAATGAACAGAAGTTGTTCTTTGGTCATTTTGAGACATAATGTGCTCCCAACATAACTAGAGAAAAAAGCAAGATACATTTTTTCAAACAAGTGTGGAACAATAGTGGAATATTTCCAACTGCAAAATATTGAAATCAAATCCATATTTTTATCATAGAAACAAAGAGGGACAACTTTGAGGAATCTAGTGATATGAACATTCTACCTCTTTAATTGACTCACACATATACTACTAGAATTCTTTTATGTTATTGATTAGACAATTTTTATAAAAAAGAGTAGTCAAGATAATAATAATTGAGTATTTGTATTAAACTGACTTTAAAAAGCAGAAACTGTCTTGGCACCTATCCAAAGTATAGTTGTATCAAAAAAAAGCGAAAGCGTACAAGAATATTAGAGAGAGGAGTTGATGTCATCCTATTTGCGTAAAACTGTTGCCCGTTATTCAAAATGGTTTTAGATAATCTTCATGATTATTGTGGATGGTGAAAAAATGAAAATTGCGATTCCTTACAAAAAATTTGGCGCCGAGCGTTTGAATTCTTGAATTTTGACTTTGCCGTATATCTACGTGGTGAAGGATTTTCTCAATAACGATATTTTCATTCAACAGTGTATTAAATCAACACATATTGAAGACCTGATTATGAAACGGAAAAGATGCACATTCAAAAGAAAAGTTGAAGGTCAACGACACCAAAATATGCACAATAATGAAAGGCAAACATAATTTGAACACAACAATTTACCACATCTCCTTCATACATAGTAATCTGAAATCAAACAAACTTTTGGCCTGACTTGAGAAGTCATTTGACTTGGTGGGTGGAAAGCAAATATTCTGGAAAACAGCACCTCCTATTCATGAACTCGAACTAATTATCTTTATTATGAGTTTTCATGTTGAGGTAAAGCAATTACAAAATATTTGTTTCAGAGTGTGATCTTTTTCACATCTTTGTTGTGTTATGTGTTCCATCTTGATCCATTCATCCAGCAATTTTTTGAAGTTATTTCAATTCCTTGTCACTTGACTAAAGTCGAATCTGTACAAATGTCTGGCTGTCCAAAACTCTAATCCCCTCATAATCGTGTGTTGACCATCAAAAACCCCCTGTCCACTTGAGAAATAAGTGCAAAACTGATAGTACGTTTCCTTTTATATATATATGAAATTATATATAGAGAACATTTAATAACTTATTTTATGAAGTGACCTTGCTTTGTACCACAGTATGATTTTCCTCAGTTTGCTCACCTTTTTCCCCCCCATCCCAATTCCCCCATCCATTTTCTCAATATGGATTTTAGTGTAATGTGTACAGAAAAAAACTTGTTCGCCTACCAGATGATTAATAAAGGGAAATTTGAATTAAATAGATGTGGCTTGTTGAATACAGACTCATTTTTTTGAGTTTGAGTATTTGATGAGCGAGTAGCAGCTTTGAGACATTTGCCATTCTCCAATTGATTTCGAATCAAGTTGTTCTGGAAATTTATTTTTCCGTGGATCGGTTCACGTGGACCCCGCACCGCAATAGGGGGGAAATTGGCTTTCGGTGAATTTTCTCGAATTTTGGATATATCGTAGAACTCGTGATGCTGATCAGATGTTCCAATTATCAACGCTCTAAATTCAATAGTTTGTATTATACAGGGTGCTGAAGTTGACTTTTTCAAAATTCCGAATGGCAATTGTGAAGTTTCCTTCTTGAATACCAAAATCAAATCGACTACGTTTTGTTTGTCCATGTGGCCGGTGAAAATCCACTATAGAGTTCAATGATATCTGCACGTAGTCAAAAATAGCAAATGTTTCAATTATTTCCGAAATGGTGATCGGTTGAAATCAATTCATTTTTGGACATTCTGTAGTATACTAATATCAACATCGATTCATGATGATTGCATTTTTCAAATCAGACTACATATTGTACACAAGATGTTCAAGTTTCCATGAAACCGCACCCGTCCTGATATTCATATCGATCGAATGATTGGAATCCCGAAAAACTTGGTGAGGAAGTTGATAATTCGTGATGAAAATATCTTATGCAAATACCTGAAATATACAGGGTGGTTGAGTAGTAGTGGAGTTTTCTTGGAGTTGACGT